CTTTGATGTTACGGTGGCTTTGTATTACTGTAGCTAAGATCAGAATCCAGGCCCAAGTGCTTCATCTGTTTAAGGGACCGTTAGCTTCACTGTACCCGCTGCTTTTATAGCTGTATATGAAGCTATTCCTTGCAAAGGAGACTGATTTTTCTTTTGTGTCCCCGAGCTGTCTTCCTCAGTTTTAAGTAGCAAGATGTGTCTGCTGTCCTTTCAGTTTGTGGTTTTTCTAAAGAGTAATATGAAGTATGTTCTGCTATCCTATTACTTGGTTGTATTGATCTAAGAAAATTATTAATAAGTTGCTGTAGAATTACTATGTAACTATTTTATGTTTTTTTTTCTTAGAGATGAACGTAATGATATTTTAGCTGTGGCAGACTGGGGTCAGAAACTTTCCTTTTACCAGCTTAGTGGCAAACAGGTATGTTTTAGGAAGTGCATTCAAAAGTGGCAGGACATTTCTGATTCTGTTTTGTGTCCTGTATTCAAAGTGTTTGTATACTAGTGCTTTATTAGCTACATTAAATGTTTTCTGTTTTCCCAACCTTTTATGATTCTCCTTTTTTTAAACCATCTTGTTTCTCCTATGGCAGCTCAGCTGCTGTCTAACAATTCTTGTATTAAAGCCCTTACAACTTTGCTGACTTTTGTGATATGGTGTACTGGTCTGTAGAGGACATACTTGTATTTTTTTCAACCAGTTAAAGGGGGGTTTGTGAATTGCTTGCACTTGGGGTGGACTGGTTTGGCACTGTAGGGATTCTTGGATGTATTTTAGAACTACCTTTGGGAGTTGTGCATGGCCAGAGAGATGAGAAGAATGGTATCAGCGACAGCAGTTGTTAGCTTGGGAAAATATGAAACGATCCTTTTGTTAATGGTTTGGGTTTTGGGTTTTTTTTTTTCCTTGCAGATTGGGAAGGACAGAGTGCTCAACTTTGATCCTTGCTGTGTTAGCTATTTTACTAAAGGAGAGTATATTTTACTGGGAGGTTCAGATAAACAAGTTTCCCTCTTCACGAAGGATGGTGTGCGTCTTGGTACCATAGGAGAGCAAAGCAGTTGGGTGTGGACATGCAAAGTTAAACCAGACTCCAACTATGTGGTGAGTAGGAACATTTTTCTGACGTTTCCACATGCTATTTCTCATATAAGGTAAGACCATAAATTTCAAACTCAGTTGCTTAATCTAGACATTCTTACTGAGGCAGCAGAACCTAAGCAGTGTCTAGTGAGGTCCTAGAAACTACCACCAAAATTAAAAATATCCCACAGAAATAAAACTTGGGCTGCAAGAAGGCTGTAAATGAGTGTAACACCTGTTTTCAGATGGTAAGGCATCTGCTGCATTTTGATTACAAAAGAGGAGGGAAAAGAAGAAAAAACGGCAGCGAATAACTTCTAGGCTGACCAAATCTAATTCCAGGATGGGAAGAAAATATGCAAATCTGTTTGAGTTTCTAGCATTGCACCTTGTGGAAAATACCTACAAGGCAACTGTTAGTCATAAATGCTGCACTCTGTGTTGTTGTACAAATGTGAAGAGATACAGGGCAAATTTTAAAACAAACACCCCCCACTCCAGCTCCCCTCCCCCCCCCAAAAAAAAGACAACCAAAAAGCCAACAACAAAATAAAACCAAACCCCACCCACCTAACGTGGTGGTCTCCATGGTCTGTGATGAGATCAGTCCTCATTTTGAGTTGCACTTTTACCACTGTTTAAGTAGAGATAGGCTGTAATCGATATCAATCTATACGTTGTGCAAGAAAAGGAACATAACGTTCATATAAATACTACGTGCTTTGCCAATTCTCACCTACATGTACCAATTAACTAAAATTATTTTCTTCTTCTTCTGTTCAGGCAGTAGGATGCCAAGATGGAACAATATCCTTCTATCAGTTGATTTTCAGCACTGTTCATGGCCTTTATAAAGATCGCTATGCTTACAGAGACAGCATGACTGATGTTATTGTCCAACACCTCATCACTGAGCAAAAAGGTAATTTCACACTTGCAGTCAGGCCAAAGCTTCAGTCTCATTCTGTTTTGTTTTGTTTTAATTAATATCTGTCAGAACACTTGGAATATATGCTGCACGTACCAGACAGATTGTTGTCACTTCAGTAGTAAAACTGAGGAATACTGTTTGCAGGGTGAGAGTGCAAACTTGGATTCTGGAGGATCAGCGCTGACAAGCTTAATAAAAGATGTGGGGATTTGAAAGGACATTGGGAGGGGCAGAGGCTTTTAAGATAAGGTTTTAATCTCTGCGAATGAGATAAAAATACTGTACATCATATTTAGCTTTTTTTTTTTCTTACTTCCGGCCTCAAGCGTTTGTGCTGATATTGTTTCTTAGTACCCACTGGCTTTTTATGGCAAAGAATCAAAGTATTGCTCCAGAATGGGCTGTTGACAAAAAACAGAGGGTGATAAATTGTGACAGGGATAGTAGGTTATATAGAAGCAGAACAACAAATGTATCTGAGCAGGAATCTGCTTTTAATTTTAGAGGTGCTTTAGAAGGATTCAATTTGGATACAGAAATCAGAAAACTTACTAATACATTCATTATTTTCATGTCATCCTGTGCTGTATTGTTTTTGTGTTTTTTCTCTCTAGTTAGAATAAAAGGCAGAGAACTTGTAAAGAAAATTGCCATCTACAAAAACAGATTAGCAATCCAGATGCCAGAGAAAATCTTGATTTATGAGTTATACTCGGATGATTCTTCAGATATGTATTATCGGGTGAAAGAAAAGATAGTAAAAAAATTTGAATGCAACTTGCTGGTTGTATGTTCAGATCACATTATTTTATGCCAGGTATGTGCCTTAAAATATAGAATAGTCTTGGGGTGCGTTCAGGCTGCAAGATAGCTGTCCAAATAGCTAGTAGGAAAAGACTGTACCACGTAATCTATTACAGTTTTTCCTCAAGGCACCAATGCTTAGTGCTGTTGTAGTGTGCAGCGCCGACGTACTTCTAAGTAGTAGCTGTGGCATGCCACAGGTGGCTCTGTTTCAGTAAAACAATCTCTCTAGTGAATTTGATAAATTAGCACATAATCCAGGGGAACTTTTGGGTGGGGATGAACTACTAGAAAAAGATGGGGGCTTTTTGGTTTTGTTTGTTTGTTCATAGCATTGAAAAACCTTAAAGAATTCACCCTGTTAAATTGACTGTTTGACTTTATGATTTTTATATGTAAAAGTAGACACACATGCTAGTGTAGGTATAAACAACACATCAGACACAGTGGTTTTATTGTTGCCTCCATGGAGTATTTTGTATGTTATTGTGTCCTTAGGAGAAAAGACTACAGTGCCTCTCATTTAGTGGCATTAAAGAACGAGAATGGCTAATGGAATCTCTTATTCGTTATATTAAAGTAATTGGAGGACCTCCAGGAAGAGAAGGCCTCTTAGTTGGTCTAAAGAATGGTCAGGTAACATATAGTGTCTCGTATGTGTCTTGTCACTGCAAATAAGATCTGTTTTATGCTCTTAGGGGAACACCTTAGGAGCAGCATGCTGTTTTACAACCTAGAATTTTATTTGACAGTCTCATCTTGTGATTAAAACCTAATTATTTTCACAGTCACTGGCTGTAAAATTCATACTGAGAGAACGTTTGCCCTTAGTGGGGGTCGGGGTGTGTGTGTACACTTCTCCTGATGACCATTTGTGAAGGTGTAGGTGTTCTAGAAGCGAAATTGCTCTGTTTCGCAAGTCGGTTAGCAGATGAGTATTTCAAACTGGAGCCCAGAGGTATTGATACGGAGAACACAAATAGAGAGGAAGTTGAGATCCTTTGCATCTTCTGTATCTATGCTATATATTCCTGTAGTATTGTATTAATGTAATTGTTTAACTAGCAGAGCATTAAAAATTCCAGGATGTATAGTATATGTTTTATTTGTATAGGCTCGCAATCTAGAGTACATCGTGGAAACAAGTCTTTTCAAGATACCTCAAACTGAAAGCATTACCTTAATTTTAATGCAGAGTTTATCTCTGAAAAAAAAAAAAGCAATCGGAGGCTTTAAACAGCATTAAAGTCTGTACCTGCTACACTACTTCGAGTTTTAGGAATAAAAATGGGTGGTCTGACTTTGGTTTCAAATATGTCTAGATTCTGAAGATATTTGTTGATAATGTCTTCGCAATCGTCCTGTTGAAGCAGTCCACAGCTGTGCGCTGTCTGGATATGAGTGCATCTCGAAACAAGCTGGCAGTGGTTGATGAAAATGATACCTGCCTAGTATATGATATTCATACCAAAGAGTTGTTGTTTCAGGTAAAATTCAAAGTTTTAAAAGAAAAAAGGGGAGGTGGGGCAGGCAGTGATTTGGAGCACAGAATATACAAAAAATGAGTTATGTGCGTTTCTGCACAGCTATTAATCACACTTTGTAGGATTTAACTGTGATCTATTTTTTCTATCAAAACTACCCTCAGAGAGAGATGGTAGACAAGGAGATATATGTGAGCAACGGTTGAATAAAGAGCACTTAAACATGTGACCTTTTCAGTTTAATTTAGAGCTCTATCCAGGTTCCCTTTGAAGCATTACAGTTAATGAGCATTTTGACTTTATCGTTAGTACGAACAGAATTAAAGCCTAAACTTCTTTGTTCATCGTGTATTCCCAGACTATAAAATGAATAATGTTAATTCTCTCTTCATTGTCAGTTTAGCAGTCACTCTAAGGGTTCACTTATTAATGTTGATAAAACGTTTTCAGAGAACACTCGATAGAAAGTATGAAAGTATGTTACAAAGATAGGGTCTGTAACTTTCTTTTTGTAACAGGCAGAAAAGTGATCAATTAAATATGCTAGCTAACTACCAGTATATTATTGTGGAATTTTATATTACCTTGTACAGTTTGATAGTATAGATCATTAGTAAATACAAAATGAAGACAATTACAGCTGTTTATGAAAATGTAAAATATGTCCCTGTAAATCTGTTCAGGAATCTACTAAGCTTTGGAATATTACAAATGTAAATAACAAGTGTGTGTGTTACACACCCATGCTATAACAGGTCATACATTCTAGCTGAAGGATGCGTATTTCTTAGGAAAGAAGACGTGATTGTATCTGTTGTAATCATGACTTATTTTGCTCGTTAGGAACCCAATGCTAATAGCGTGGCCTGGAATACACAGTGTGAGGATATGCTTTGCTTTTCTGGAGGGGGTTACCTCAATATCAAAGCTAGTAACTTCCCTGTCCATCAGCAAAAACTTCAAGGCTTTGTTGTGGGTTACAACGGCTCCAAGATCTTCTGTCTTCATGTTTTTTCTATGTCAGCTGTTGAAGTTCCGCAGGTAATCCTTTAATCTCATTAAGTGTTGCTTTACATTTCATAAACATCAGTGTTTAAGAAGTGAAGAAGCTTTTCTGAGATTTACTCATATTCCATTACCGAAATCATTGAAGTTCACACTTTCTTCATCATTATTTAAGTTATGTTGCATGACCGATTTTATTTTTGTTTATTTGACATTAATTAAAATAACTTCCTTTTTGCTGTTGTTGATTGTTGTTTCTAATTCTCGCTTTCTATTTGCAAATGCACATAATCTAAAAATGAAGATATGGTTACCTCCTCCTGTATTTTTACTGTAGTCTCTCTATGTACCTTTTCTCAAGTAGTAATTTCATTTTTCTTCTGAGTACATCAAGTACTGTCTTATTGTTGCTTCGTCTAGATGTGTTTAGGCAATATTTAAGCGTTGAATTTCAGTCCGAATGTGTAGTACATGTGTAGTCTTCATATTCTAAAGTTAGAGACTGCCTTCCACAAAATGCTATTTTCTGCATTATGGGAAGCAATAGAAGAGTCTAAAACAGTCCAAGAAACAAAATAAAAAAAAAAAAAAAGGAAAAGGGGGAGAGAAAAAAACAATTCTGAATTATGCACCCAAGCATGGGCATGATTTGAAACTGAGAGTCAATGAAGAAGGCAAAAGTGCCAAGTGCTTTTATTAATGAATGGATACCTGTGTCACAGCCCGTCTGTTCCTCTGAGGCACTATGGCGATCCTGAACTGGGCTCTGGGTCGTCCCTTGTGGTTGTCAGCCATGAGATGGACCAGGCCTGGTACACTCTTTGTCTGGCTTTGGCATGCTGTAGGCACCGATATGCCACAAAAATCTTGCGAAGTATCACCGAGGCAGCTTTTCCAAAGCTACACTTTTGGAGGGAGGGAGTACCAAAAGGTATACAATTTCCAGATAAATTGACAAAAATAACATCATAATCAATCCGCATGCTGTCTTTGGTTGCAAGCCCAGAGGTAATCTGTTTGTTCAGAGGGTTTGAGCTGTAGCTGCAGATCCTGAGCCTTAGTCTATCTGTGTCAGCCTGCAGTTGACAGTTTCTCTCTTTAATTCCCTTTTAGGGCAGGTCCTTGAGGTCAGTGTCTTTTGGGCTTAATAGTCTCACTTGGTAAAACACCTTTGTCATCAGGCTTGGCACAGAAGGGCTGCTTCTCATGCTACCTCTTCCTGTGGTGTTTGAATATTGCTGGGGTGCTTCACACCAGGCTGTCGTGCCACTTTTCATGCTTTTAGCCTTTGAGAACAAACTGCACCCTCCTTTGCTCGGCTTCCATAGTATTAAAAAAAACCCAAACGACCTCATTCACTCGTACGTGATATTTATCATGTACAGTGCTCAGAAGAATTCACATTCCTAATATGCAAGGAACTGAAGATCTCAAGATGGATGAGTTTGGAATATAATTAACCCAGCTTGTCTAAAGATGCAATAATAATCACGCCAGAATGTTGTTCTATTTGTTATACAAAATTCATACATTTATTCTTTGTGGAGCTTGTAATGGTTGTGATTAGATTTTTTTTTTTTTTTTATTCTCAATGCATGTAGAAAATTTCACTAATATATTTCAGTATTATGCTTTCTAATACATGTTTTTCAATGGAAATCTTCAGTCTGCACCCATGTATCAATATCTGGAACGAAAAATGTTTAAAGAAGCCTATCAGATTGCATGTTTAGGAGTAACTGATACTGACTGGAAAGAACTGGCCATGGAAGCCTTAGAAGGGCTGGAGTTTGAGACTGCTAAAAAGGTAAAGCAGTTATTTCATTATTTAGCAGAAAGCTAGTTTTATATTTTTATACATATAGTGTGCATCTAACGCATGTTTTATGGCTGGAATACAAAGTGGTGTTCCTGAGTTACTATCTTGCTTTAGTGTATATGTTATTCCACGTACCAAAGAAAATGTTGGTTTGTTGTATACTCAGGATCTTCAGATGAGGTTTTAAACTGAAATCAAATTTACCTCTCTGGATAAATGCCATGTTCTAAATCAAAGTGTTAAATGCAAAGAGAACGGTTTCTTTCATCTGCTGGAAAATGCGTTAATGAATTTGAGGGAAATAGAACTGGGAAGTTGTTCAATGGTGCTGCTGACCACCGGGTGGCAGCAAAGAATGCCTTAGCTGACTTTTCCCCCTCCTTCCCGATGCTATAAACTTAGTCTTCTCCCCCCCCAAGTATTTAATATAACCTCAGTTCAAATGTGGAGGTTTCGTATTCTTTATTTACACACTAATGTTCTTCGAAAGCAATGGTGGTGGGATGTCATTGTTTTAGTCCTTTGCTATCTGGAATGCCTTGATTTTGGGAGTGGTCTATAAATGGGCATTCACTGAACAACAGAGACTTCTCTGGCATAAAATACTTAGCTATTTTCTTTCACCACCTTTTCTCAAATAAGAGAGGGTGAACTGAGTTCAATGTTATGAATATTGCATGAAAGACAAAACATTCTAAAAATATGGAGGGAATGGCCTGTAATGATAGGCATCTTTTAATAACAGATTTTCTTAAAAGGAAATTAAATGCTTTATTTTTCTTTTTTTCTTAAGTAGAGGCATCAGAATAATTCCAGTTTCATAGACAGCTTTATGCAAATAGATATTCTTAAAAAGAAGTTTTCAGTGCCTCCTTGGAATCTTAAAGTAGTGCCCTCTTAGAATTAGAGCGGATTAATTTGAACAAAAGCAGCTTCTTGACATTAAAGGCTCTCATAGTTCCTAGTCTGATCTGGTGTAAGCAGAATATTCTATGCCCTCTTAAGCATTAGTTTGGTTAGAAGTCTTGAACGTGCAGTCTAAAGAGTTAAATTTCTATTTTTTGATGCATGTCAAGAATAAGTGCTAAGCTGCTGTAACTTGCACGTGACTTCGCCACTTGAGACTTTGGGTTGCACATTTATCTCCATTTGCAAAAGATAGTACGCTGTCTTGCAGTACTTTCATCTTACCGTCGTCTTACTTCCTCTCCTCCCTGAGCTACTTCTGCACTGGATTTTCAGAATGATATAAAAACTATAAGCATATACAGTATGCTTTGGCAATGCGGTCAATTATATGTTCTACCTTGAAATAGTTTCCTGAAATTTCCTTGTCTGTATCATGCCTCACATCAAAATGGAAAAGCTACAAAATAGCCAGAATAAACGTATGTAATATTTTAAATGGCCTTTTGTGTTTCTTGGGGGACTGACATACATAGTCCTGCTAGTCCCTGCCTTTGCTGTGTAGTTTCAGCGATAAGCTCTTTGGATTGTACCCTTGTCTTACTTACCGTAATGCCTCAGAGCCCATCAGGTTAGGGACTACACAAACACCGACCCCAGCATATTTCTGTCTGTTGTATTTGCACAAAGGCAGCTTGATTTATGCGTAACAATATTCTGTTGATTTTTATGGCTTTTCAAGTTAATTCCTTGTGTTCTTTCTTTTTTTTTTCTTTTTTCTTTTCAATAGGCATTTACCAGGGTACGAGACCTTAGATATTTAGAACTGATCAGCAGCATAGAGGTAAGAGTGTTAAAGATAGTGTATTTGCTTACGCTTAGTACTATGCCAGAATCAGTACTTTCTGTATTGGAGGGACTTTTCTGTGAATAGTGCTTCTGACTGTTGGAGTGAAAAATCCTGCTTAGCTGAGGTGACTCACATCCTGATCATGTGACTGAAGCTTTGTGGAAAAAAATGGGGTGCGGGACAAGAAGAACTTCTGAAACTGTCTTCAGGAAAACTGGAAAAATGTTCAATATTCAATTAATAATTGGTAGAATACTACTGTGCTAACAGAGCTTAGTACAGAATACTTCATAAACATGAGTTAATTAAGCCTTTCCTTACCCCCTGGAGATAGGTAATTACTATTATCTCCTCTTTGCAGAGTCAGAAACAGGCCCAGAGTAATAAAATGACAAACTCAAGGTCTCATGACAAGTCTGTGACAACTGAAAATAGAATTTGGGTTTCCTTACTTCCATACTGTGCTCTAATCACTAGTTCTTAGTCTTTTCACACTTCTTGATAGAATTTCACTAGACAATAACTGTCTGTCGTGAGCACATTAAAAGACATGGTATCACCCTTGTCCTTTGCAAAGACTGCATGATAGTGCTTGGTTTAAAGATCTGTGTTGAGATGGCGTAGAGGGAATTCCTCTTTCTCACACTAATTAGATTTACACCTTCTCTGAAAGAATGCATTCCTTGCCTTCCATTTCTGCAGAGCTGTCCTGGTTCTGTCAAAACACCAGTTGGTTGCAGTTAACTTTTCTTGGTGTCTGATGTGGGACAAAGTTCTGCCTTAGGAGCCCTCTTTTTGGTGTTTGGGTTTTTTGGTTTGTGGTTGGTTTTTTTTTTTTTTTTTTTTTGCCTTTAAAGGTAGACAAGGGTAGGTAGACAATAGGTAGACTAGACCATTCTCATACCCCTACCACCACTCTTTTCCATATATGCTTTTCCACATCTGCAGCTATTGAGGATATTCTGGAATTGTCATGTTATGTTCTGTTTAATGAGAAAGATTCCTTTTGTACATAGGCATAAACTTACTTACAGGCTTCTTGAAAATTCTCTTTCTGAAGTGAGAGTTCTACATCATTGCTTGCTCTTGCTTGTGGTGTATCGGATTCTTTTTAGGGCTTGTAAGGATGTAACTAAGCACACATGTTCCGTTAATATGCTGGTTTTCTCTCAGTAACGACACTTTTTTTGTAATTGATGACAGCAGGAAACATAATTGCCAGATCTCTATATCTGGCGAGATTCTGTGAAATCTTTAAAAAATGGTGCGACAATTCCTCTGATTATTCCCTTAACCAAGTTTTTAAAGGGAACTTTCAACACCAGTCCGGTATCAGCCTAGTCAATAAGCGTAACCAGAAGGGGTGACAGCCGAGTCTCCTTTGGCAGTAGAGAATGGAGTTTGTATGCTCGTGGAATGCTTTTCCCTCTTTTGTGCAGTTTTCTTTAAATTCAATTCACATCTATATATTTCCATATGAAGTGGGCTAATTGTAGTAATAATTTTATCCAAAGCAGGGTAGTAATGTGTTTCCAAGACACAGGATAAAATATACACATTGGAGCCCACTCACACATACGCACGTGTGTGCGTATATACACGGCCCCTTGAAGGCAGAGTACCTCCGTGGCTCTGATTCACGTGGAGGGTTTCCCTGTGGCATTGCACGCTCTGCCTGCGTGGTCCCCGCGCACAGTCGGTGAGCAGTGCCAGTCTGCAGGACAGCAGCGCAGGTGCTCTGCGAGCGACTGTTGCCGACCTGAAATCAGGAGCTCTTGTGTCACCACCACTGTCCCCACACACTGGTTTTTATTCAGAGGCGGGTTAACACGCTTCGTGAATCTGCTTATTGCTAGCAATTATTTTCATGCTTGTCACCCCACACGCGCATATTGTTAATTTAGCCAAATTATACGCTAGTAAGTTTCTACAGGAGAAAATAAGGAACCCATCAGATGCCTTTTTTTTTTTTTTTTTTTAAATAGCATAGCATAATAATAGCGTGTGTTCATTTTCCTGGGTGAAATCAAGAGAAGTGATTTTTCATCACTTTGGTTTGTATAGTGACATTTAATTTTGCTCTTCCTAATTTTAATTAAGAAGGGATTTAATCCTTTAATTATAAATTCACCAGAAATGTGGGAGAGGCATAATTATCATATCCTGTTACATATTTTTATTAACAGTTCAAATCTAAGCCTGAAAATCTAATTCTTCAATAGCTATTTTTCACCTAGGTCCTAATCATCTAGAATATTTTGCACATCATCTAGAATTTTTTTTTTTTTTTTTTTTTCCTTCTCCCAGGAACGGAAGAAGCATGGAGAGAACAACAATGAACTGTTCCTAGCAGATGTTTATGCCTACCAGGGAAAATTCCATGAGGCAGCAAAGTTGTACAAAAAGAGTGGCCATGAAAACCTAGCTCTTGATATGTACTCTGATTTACGCATGTTTGACTATGCAAAGGTAATAGTTTGCAACTGAATATTTAAATATAGAAATATTAATGTACCTGTAACTGTTTTCAAAGTATGATCCTACAAAAGGATTGGATGAAATGTGGGCTTTTTCTCAGTGAATTGGTTGAAGTTTTTTGGCTTATAAGGGGAAAAATGTAATGGTGGCCTTTTTCTTCAGAGTCTGATACTGACGTAGCAGATTTTTTTTCTCTAGTCTCAAATGCATCAATGGAATTCATGGCTTTTCAGTGGATTTTTTTTGTTGGACACTACCAGAATTGACTCTTTCATTGTGTTTATATAGTATTGCCCATAGTAAATTTCCTTTTTTAAAAACTAAAAATCTCAATTTTATGACTTCCTTTTCTATCATCTGCTTGAGTCCCTTTTAATTTTTTTGTCTTCCAAAGATAATAAGGTAGTACACATGCAAAGTGGAGGTAAGTGCACCATGCATTTAATTCATTTCCATATTATAATAAAAATATTTTTCTTTCAGAGTTTGAACTTAAATAGGTACGTTAGTTCTATATTAATGTATTTTATAAAGTGTATAATATACTAATCTAGTGTATTTTTGTTTATTAGAGAGCTTTTTTCCAAAAATTCAATGTCTTGGCTTTTTTTTTTTTAAACTCTGTTTCCATGTAGAAATAAATTGAATGTAGTTTTAAAAAGTGATGCTTTTATACATTGATAAGAAAGCATTACTTGGCTTTTAAGTATTCTATGGTGTTTTCTTATCAAAATCCCTGAGAACGCATGCACAGTTTAGTCTCATTCGTCAGTCATCAGAGCCTTATTCTGCCCAATGCAGCACACAGACTTTACCACGGCATGCATATAAACTGTTTTAGCATAGATTCCACAAACTGTGCTACAGAGAGGTCTTTTTCTTCCAAGAGCTTAATATAAGTAGTTTGGGGCTTTGCTGATGTAAGTCTGACTTCCACTATTTTTGGCTGATGAGTCTTTGTTAGCTTCAATGTTTTGGCTTCTCTTGAACATAAATGTAATTCATAGATGAAAATTTTCCCATAAGTCTTCATAAGAATCTTTTAATTCTTGGCTGTAGTCATGTCTATATTTAACTAGCAGAGAGCAAAAGGTCTTGTGTCTCCTGTCCTTGAGGGTAACTCCATGCAGAGGAAATTAAAGGTACTTCGTAGCATGTGAAGGAAGCTTCTTGTGCGAGGAGTGCGCAATACATGGAAGAATATGTAAAACCCCTTTGTTTGCCAGTTGTTTTTCCAAGGAAAGATATATGGGGGGTGGGGTGTTTTTGTGTTGCGTGTTTTTGGTGGTTGTTTTTTTAATGCTGCCAGAATTATGCAAAGGGACCCGTACAGAATCTGACTGCTTGTGCTTGACTTTGATTAGCTCTGGCTAGAGAGTCCAGTCTGGAGGCAGAGGTCAGGAAGACCTTTTGATATCTGCTCATAGGCTCGTTATCACAGTACCGGATCACAAATTACTGAGAACTCACAAAAAACTCTTTATACTGTAAGAAGCTGAGCTTTTGATTTTGGACTTATTTTGGTGACCTAAGCTGGAAAACAAGTTGTGTCAAAGATGTTGTTCAACTTGATTCTTTTGCTGCAGTTTTTCATATTCAAAGATTATCATGACATCTTTATAGTTATTGATGGGGATCAGGGCTGTGTTGCAGTAGGTAATGCTAGGGCAAAATCCTACGTGGGGCGCATTTAGGAGCTGGCACAGAGCTGGGGTATAGTTCTGTACCTGTTGACTGGCTGCGTCAGGGGAACTGCTGAATTGTGGTAGTGCAACGGATCTGTTGTGTGGGCGCTTTTTGTGGGTTTTCTGCCTGTTTTGTTGTTGTGGGGTTTTTTTTGTTTTGTTTTTTAAACCTGAATCAGAATTTGCCAGGAACAGAGGATAAGGTAATTTTCCACTCTTTTCTCTCCTTTCCCTTTCTGTGTTCTGATTTTTCATTTGCTAGAAGCTGTGTTAGTGGACAGTAGCCTGTTCTGTTAACAGACAAAATTGCCCTTACTCAATCTTCTGCTGCAGAAGTACTTCTCCCCCCCGCCCCCCCGCCCCGGCACATGATGTCAACAGATGTGAACCATATGGTGCCAGGGCTTTGGTATTGGCAGAAGAAGTTGAACAAACTATTAGAAATATTTCCAAAGTGGTCATGTGGTCATCATCACAGCATCCAGACTTGATGTTTGCATTCCTTGCAGAAGTCCAACCAGTAGTTCAGAGTCACTCTCACTTTTGAGCAGCTGTCATTCCATCCTTATAAAAGAACTTATTTGATATATTGTAATGTAATTATCAAGTGTCTTTGCAGAAAACAAAATTTCAGCCTTTAATTGATTTGTGGCTGGGCATCCTGACGCTAACATATGATTAAGAGGGTATACTGTTGTTAACTAAGTGTGGGGTGGGGCTGGGTCATCTTTAAGAATGAAACCGTACCTTCTTGGCTTGAAAAAGAAAATCTGAAACTTCCAATTGTTCTAGTACAGTTTTTGAGATTACTACTATTTTCTTTTGGAAAGGCATGTTCCTGAAAAGCGTGCAGAAATCATAATTTGTATCCACTTAAACAGGTTCAACAGAGAGCAAGCTTTCCAAGAAATCAAGAGGGAACATATTTATTACCTCTGAGCCATCTGTATCGTCCTTCTCCTGGCCCTCCCAGAATCTACCACTTTTTTTTTTATTTTAATTGAAAACGATCTAAATGAGAGACTTGCCATTGTTTCATTGGGCCTTGATAATTAGTTGCTGAAGGCCGGATCAGTTTGTGCTGCTCTGTATGCAGTATTTCTTTTCTTAGGAGGCATAATGATATTCATTAAAAAAGCTTTTACGTATTTTAGAATTTCAACTGTAACAGTGGTTGTCGCCAGAAAGTAATGCAAACTTTTGTATTGCACTATTTCAGGATTTTCTGGGATCTGGAGACCCCAAAGACACAAAGATGCTAATAAAAAAACAAGCGGATTGGGCCAAGAATATCAATGAACCAAAAGCAGCAGTGGAGATGTACCTCTCTGCAGGCGAGCACATGAAGGCCATAGAAATCAGTGGGGACCATGGCTGGGTTGACATGTAGGTTTTAGTTCTGTCTTGGAGATAATGTAACAACTTATTCATGAATCCAGCATAATTTTAAAATTAGACAAAACCTGTTTGATACGTGCCTTTGTTTATATCAAAGCACATCTACGATTAAAAATGTTTTAAAGGTTACATATATTTAGAGGGTAAGGGCATAAATATGTTACGAAAACAAATGCATTACAACAGTAAAGAGTCTGAATGGGCTTATCTGTACTATGAGACTGTCTTCTAAAATATGCATGCCTTAAGCTTTTCAAAGTAATCATCACAGTGCTTATATGTGATAGCCTATTTCTGTTGTTTTAAGCTGTTAAGGATAATCATCTAGTGGGTGGAGAAGGCAACTGGAACACAGAATACGTAGAAATTCTGGGGCTACTCCTGGCACAAGTCAAATTCTCCTTGATTTGCAATAGTTGACACTTTGGGTCGTTTGCTGAGCAGCCATTAGATCTCGGACATGTCACTCAGCCTTCCCTTGCCTCAGTTTTGCTGAGTGGCAAAGGGGGAAATGTTTATTCCTGATCCTTTGTTTTAGCTCAGGGTTGAGGAAGTGTGTCCCATGTCAGTCACATGGGACCTACCCCCTCCCTCCGTCTTCATGACTGTGCAAAGAGTCTGAGATACGGAATTGCAGTGTGAGTAAAAACTGAAGGAACAGGTTTTGAGTTTGTAAAAGGAAAAAAAAAATTGAATGTCTACTGATAACTGTTTAAACAGTGTTGCGTGGTACTACTATTATGATATTTATTAAATAATAACTGATTAAAGGTGAAGTGATTACAATAATTAAACAAAAGGCAAAACAACACGGCAGAACCTGAAACATCTGGCTTCTTTTTACTGGGTCTAGGTTAATTGAAATAGCTCGAAAACTGGATAAAGCTGAGCGTGAGCCTTTGTCAAAATGTGCCTTCTATTTTAAGAAACTTGATAACCCTGGCTATGCAGCAGAAACCTACATGAAGGTTGGTGACCTGAAAGCATTGGTCCATCTCCACGTGGAGACTCATCGCTGGGAAGAAGTAAGCATGCCCTTGCTTTCTGTGCTTAAACCAGTACTTCTTACTGCTCGGGCTGCAAGAAAGGGAGACAAATGTCTGGCTCTTCCACCACTGTAGTGAAGGGAGAGGCAGGGTGGGAGGCTTCTGTAGAATGTGATTCAGAGTACTTCAAGTTAATTTTGTATGCTCAGTATTTGTTTGGTGGGTCGGGTTTTTTGTGGTTTGTTTTTTGGGGTTGGTTTTTTTTTTTTTTAGCTTCCTGGCTGAATATTTCTCGGTCTGACTTCTGAGCACCTTTTTTTCCCTATTGAGTTATAGTTGCCCACTTCCTATGGTGATCCATGGGATGCTTCTAGCCCAATAGAAGGAATAAATAGTAATTATACCATAGGAAATTCTGGTTTGAACTATATTATTTATAATTTGACAGACCTGAGTGAGAATACCATACACGTAACTTGGATCTGATGAATGTGTGCTGTGCTAGTGTGGACCCCACTGTCTAACTGGATTTGTGCTTCTGACTTCACTTTTTTTTTTTTCTTTTCATAAAAACATGGGTCTGCCAGTACCATCCACTTCACAGCTGGGATCACCATTAATTTTGTTATTGTTTCTTCACATTAAGTTTTTGATAGGGCTAGTTTCTTAAGGAAATATTTTCAAAGTTTTGCTGGAATTGACAACCCCCTTCCCCCAATTATAGAAAATTGTAGACTCGGTCCTGTATTGACTAGTTAGCAAGTTTAGAAAGTGAATCTAAACTGCAATTACAGTGTTACTTCGATTTCTTTAGAAGATATATTCAGTAAAAAATAAAAATATTGTTTGTCTCTTGCTGTGCAATCTACTAAATTTCCTAGATAATCACTTTCAAGTTTCTCTGTTGCAATAACCAGACTGTTACTATGCTTAGCGGCTTTTCTTTTGTTGTTGATTGCTTTTTATTTTAAAATACATTAGTGTCATACTGGAGAAAATATGGATTATGCTCTATTCTGTGTATGTATTTTTATTGTGAATTTACTTTGAGCTAAAGGATTGATCTCATGGAATATTCTAAACCCTTTAACTGTTTAAACCATGCAGTATTCTAAAAATTAATTCTTTTATTTACCTCAGGCATTTGCTTTGAGTGAAAAGCATCCTGAATTCAAAGATGATGTTTATGTCCCTTACGCTCAGTGGCTAGCAGAGAATGATAGATTTGAAGAAGCCCAAAAAGGTAAAAATGTCACTGACAGATCACTGGTCACTCGAAATTTGCTCTGTACTTTTCCAATACAGAATATGCACCTGGAGAGGTTCTTATCAGTGGGACTCAAAATTGGATCGAATCTGTGTTTTCATATTGGTCTTAAAGTAGCTGGAATTCTCCTTACTAGATAAGAAAATGTGATCGGTCGGTCAAAAATGATGGCATCTAAATACAGGTCCAGATTTTCCATCGCATTGTGTATCCGAGTGTGGCAAGTGGCAACAGTATTTGGCATATAATCTGAACTGTCTTTATTAATATTTTTAGCACAGTAGAATTCAAAATACTTATAAGCCTGAGTGGAAAGCATAGTTTTTCCTTATATTTAGATAATGTTGGATTTGTACAAGTAATTTTCCTGATTCTTTAAGAATTTTCATGTATTTTGTCAGGTTTCTAAAATTACCTTTAAAGAGAACTGTCAACCTTCCACCACATGGACAGCCTTTCAAATTTAATTCATAAACTGTTCCAGGGGCAAGGAGGTGTTGAAGCAAGCTCGGTGTGGAGCCAGCATGTTTTTAGTATGGTTACTTTTCTCAGGTGTAGCTCCATGTGAGTGTTGCATCTGCTGTTTCCAGAGCCAGCTCAGATCTAAGTGTGCCTTTGCTTGTAAGGGCCAACGTAGTGAACGTGCCAGACATGATCTGTCTCCACACAAAACTACTTTGTGTGTCTCAGCACCAAACCTTTGAGCACTTGGTTTTAGGGCAGTTTGGTAGTTTGTGCATAGAACTCACGTGCATCAGTATAGGTATACTGTTCCCACTTTGTTCCACAAAGCTCTGTGCTGCTGTGCCTCAGCAAATGTAATCGCCCCAGAACTGGCTGAGCTCCAGATCATTGCGTCACTGTGCGAGAACTCGGTTATATCTGAGCTAGCTGAAGTCAGGAGGCAATTGTGCTGTGGTGTTGGGTTTTTGGGGGGCTGATTCCCCTCCATCCCCCCTCTCCTGTCTGAAGATTGTGTTTGCCAAATGCACGTTTACAAAGTGAGAATTCAGGATCTTACTTTATACCGGCTTCTAAGCATCAAATAAAAGAATGCTGTTACTAAATGATAGAAGGATATAGTACATGCTGTACTCTTTCAAAATATTCAGCATTACAAATCAGAGCACTAACTTAATGTAGTTTTGAATGAAGTTGTGATTTGCAGTGTTTAGAGATTGCCGTTGTTTGTATAGAGATCTAATCATCATAGCATTTTTTTCTTTCCTGTATTTAAAAAAAAAGCAACCACCGTTGTACAAAATTTGTGAGCTCAAGAGCTGCTGAGACAGTGCAGAAGCCACAAAATGCCTACAGATGCTTCTCATGTTCCATTAGTGTCGCTGCTTTCAAGGAGAAAAATAGCAGTGTATAATCCTTTTTATCCTGCCCTGGATAGCCTATTTGATATTGGCTGAATAGATTGCTCTTAATTTAAAAACATTAATTTCAGTTAATTGATATAATCGTACTGTAAAATCCTCTTTGTTTTTGCCTCCTTTGTAGCGTTTCACAAGGCTGGCAGGCAGAGTGAAGCTGTAAGAGTGCTGGAGCAGCTAACGCACAATGCTGTGGTTGAAAGCCGATTTAACGATGCAGCCTATTATTATTGGATGCTTTCCATGCAGTGTTTAGATATAGCCCAAGGTAAGTAACTGAAAGAAAGTTTGTATTTGTTACCTTCTTGTGCATGTAGACAAACAATTACTGAATTGTGATAGCATTGCTGCAACTGCTTCGCTGTTGTGTGGCTTTGGGTTTGGTTTGTTTTTTTGTTTTGTTTTTCTCTTTTAATGTTCTGTGTAACTCTGGCTTGTGCTATTTTTGTAGTCCCCCTGGTTTTCCCATGTGCTTATTTAAAACAAATAAGCAAACCAGCAACATCAGCATGCGTAAGCCTCCTTTTGAAATCTGACTGGAATCAAACTCGTGTCTCTCGGGACCACGTATCCTCATGCACCTTCCCACAACACACTAACTGGGGAAGTGGTTGGAGGGTTAACGTACTAGTAAATAAAAGATGATCTTTGAGTGTAAGATACATCTAGCATCCAACATAGGTTGGAGAGGTACTTCACAGATTAATCTGCCAATGGAGATAAAACTAATTTTTTGTTTGCTATCATCTTATCTTCTGAATGTATTTCACTGGAAGAGAGGTGGAGCCAGTAGTTAACAGGTGTAATTCAGTAATAATGAATACAAAAGATTGATAATACTGCTTTTTTCCTAGTGCTATAAGTACCTTTTTTTTTTTTCCCCTCCCAGTTCAGCTGATTCATGATAGTGCTGATCTGTTACCCCTCAGGTCTTTTATAGAGATGCAGACTTTTCCAGTTGGCTTAGTAGTATATTTAATATTTATGAAACAAATGTTTCAAAACTCATTTTATTTGTAAACTCTGAAGTTATGGATGAGGTTTCCAGTGATGCACACCTACTCTTTTCTACCTTTAACTAAGCTATAGCCTCTAGCTATGTTAAAAGCATCGCCTCAGCTGTTCTGTGTTTTACAATGCTTGTTTCAGGCCAGCAGTTTGCTCAGATATATGGTGAATCTGTATAATGTGTGGTTTGCTCAGGTAGATGGGCACACTTGAACTGGTACATACCTCTTTTGGAAGTGCTGGAACTAAAATCATAATATGTTGTTTTCTTCCAACTGAGTCTCATAGAATCATCTCGGAGACTTACACTAATGCCTTTCCCTCCCACAGAGAATGAACAACAGAAGACTGAAATGTTACAGAAGTTTCATCACTTCCAACGTTTGGCAGAAATTTACCATGTCTATCACTCTATTCAAAGATACACTGTAAGATACTCACTTGAGAAGTTGTGTATTTGTGCTTCCAGAGCATTTTTTCTCTAGGGAGTCCAGAAATAACTAGGAATAATTAATAACTTTTCGGGCAATTAAATATTGAGTGTAGATTAGTGATAGTGTATAGGAACTCTATTTATTTCTTTGCCTTCTGCTGTACTGTACAAGAACTTCTGTTGTCTTAGGTCCTAAAACCTCTAGTGTGGTTCTGTGCTTCTCTCAGCGTGGGTAGAACCTCTGTGCTTCTCTCAGCGTGGGTAGAAGATACGAGGATGGCTGACTTCCCACCTCCAGCCCCTTTTTGCTAGCTATATCAGTTTGGTGCCACAGTGACCTGACCCTCTGGTCCTACACAGGCCACAGCTGGCTTTTCCTTTAATGATGGGGAAAACAAGATTGAACAGAAGGCAACACCCTAGCTTAGGCATTCCCACCATGTGGTACGTGTATCAGTAGTGACGTGTGTAAACTACTCCAAAATGATAAGCTGTCATGAGTGAGGAGCTCCTGCTACTTCCAGGAATTACAGTAATGTTGCTGCCCCTGTTGGTGAAAATATCTTTTGTAAAACACCTGAGAACCCTTGATCTGTGCCCTTGCCCAAAAGAAGAGACTGTGCTACGGAGGTCTTTGCTGGTCAGACTACTTCAGACCTTACAGGGGTGGAGGCTCTAAGCTGTTGCTGACCAGTATGCCCTCATTTTTAAATCGCCTGTTACAGATGCTGGTTTAAGCCACACAGATCTCTCTCTCTTTTTCTGCATGTGGCAGGTATCAGCTTTGGTGATAAAGACATGCAAAAACCACTTGCTATATTCTGTCAGCACCTCTTCTTTTTGCAACTGTAATGAAAGAAACACAGTACTTGAGATGCCTGGTGCCGGGATGCGTAGTGATAGGAGTTGTTGGTTTTCCAGCTTAGCAATATGTGTCTGTATTTTTCATACTGCAGGAGGAGCCTTTCAGTTTCCACTTGCCTGAAACCCTCTTCAATATTTCCAGGTTTCTGCTTCACAGCTTAACAAAGGAGACTCCTTTGGGGATCTCAAAAGTGTATCCTTCCAATACAGTACAAAATCTAGAAGTTATCTTGTGAGGTACATGAAAGGAATAATTGATGTTGATCCACAATGCAGATAGCTCCTGCAGGGTATCTTCAGTTTCAGCGGTTGGTTATAGTTGATGGAAACTGCCTTTTGTCCCTAAGGAAATAATCAGCATCTTCAAACCATTGTGTGTTTAACTGTGTGCTACTTTTTTCTTTTCTTTTGTTTTTTTTTGAGCTCTACATATCAACCAACATGTAATTCTCAAAACCACCCACCCAGTCTGGTGTATCACCTTTGTCAGAGAAGCAAGTTCTTGGGTAGCAGTCGCTGTAACAGGATGTTGGCGCTGAATCCTGACAGTGTTGTTGCAAGGCGATGAGCTGAGACGGGGGGATCGGGAGCTTTTGCTTTGCATGAGGCTGGTATGGCTGTGTAGTGCCTGTCAGGCTAACGTTTGCACAGCTTTGTCAGTGCATATTGCATCTTTGGAGAGTACTTCATAAATGGTCTCTGTGAACCCTGTGGGAATGCACCTGCCTAGAGGATCACAGGAAGGGTTACTGGATGCTACAGGGAGGCCTCATTTTCTTCTTTTCACTTAACTTACGGCTTTGGATGGGATGTTAGCTTTCCTTTTCGTAACTTCCTCACTTATAAATGTATAATCTTTCATAAAGCCTTTCATAACATGCCTTGTGATCAGTAGCTTTCTAAACAGCAGTTACTGTTATACGCTGGTGAAAGGGGAAGACACCACTCGGTCAACGATGCAGAGCATATGCTTTATTTCCAATAAGATCACGTGTATTTAGTTGGTGTCAGTGGGTTGCTGATGTTGTAAGATTTGTATTTTTTTTTTTGGCTGGGGGAAAATTCACTCACCTTAAAATTACTGAAATTTTGTAAATGGAGTCAGAATATTTAACCGAAGCAATGTTTACATAGGGCCAATTCCTTACCTTGCTAATAATGGGCATTTTGATAGCCCTTTCGCACTTGTTTTTAAATGGAGTTATGTAAATAGATTTCTCTTGTTAAAGCCTGTTTAAAGTACTGGTGTTGGATATGCTTTAGTGCACAACTTCTCTGATTAGAAAGAGTATTTCATTTTTTCCTAAATGCCATATGTATTTTTATTCCTTAATTAAATTATAGCAATACATTATTTGCCCTGGCAAAACAGAGTAAAGCTCTTGGTGCATATAAACTGGCTCGTCACGCCTATGACAAGTTACAGGGACTGCAGATCCCAGCTAGGTTCCAGAAATCAATTGAGCTGGGCAGCCTGACAATCCGATCCAAGCCATTCCATGACAGTGAAGTAAGTTGTAATGTGTTTCTTTAATATGTGGCCTAATCGAAGAATCTGAGTTGCTGTATGCACGAAAAAATCTGAAATATATTATGCATAGCTCTGTGATACATTTCTGCTGGAAACGCAGTCCTTTTATTGTTATTCTTCAGGTCAGACTCTCTTTTGCTCCCGAGAACAAATTAAAATCAGTCCTTTCCTTATGGGCAGCTTCCATCCTCCCTCTCCTGTCTTGCATCTGCCTTCCTCTCTGCCTATTAATTCTTTCAAGCCTTTTCTCTCCGATCCACATGCAATTACTCCACAGTCTTTGTCTCTTTCTCCAGCTGGAGGTCACTTTCATTTGTCCCACTCCTAGCCCTCCTTCCCTCCTCCCCCTATCCCTTGAATGACCTTCCTTCCTTAAGTCTTATTTTAACACCTTTTCTTCTTTAACTGAAGCCTGACTTTCTGCAGCGCTCTATAAAGCTGTGTCTCACGGAGTACTCACTAAAAATAAATTGTATTGTGCAAGTGAACATGCACCTGGCCACCTGAAATAATAGAAACACAATCTTAAGAACTGCCTAAAATACCTGTGCTCTTGAAGAGAGATGAATTAATTGGAGAACTTGAATTTGACCAAACCTTAGAGCAAAAAAACTGCTTCAGTAACCTTCTCTTCGAGGTCTTTTGTCACTGTGTATTTGATGCAGAATTCTGCTTCTGTTACTGCAAAGGCAAGGTGGAAATTTAATTGTTAGAATGGTGAAGACAGCTATTTTTAATGTGAAAACTTTGCTGTTTTATTAAAAAGGGAAAGTATTTTCAGATGTTAAAGGATCTGATTTCACAGCAGTATTTCTCCCGGTTAGTGCTGATGTAATACCAGTGGTGTAAACCTAAGGAGCCCGTATTTAATTGAAAACAAAGAATTCAGGCTGTGCTGGTCTGTTTATGATTACTGTGCTCTGTATGTGTCTTTGCAGGAGCTTGTGCCCTTGTGCTATAGGTGCTCTACCAACAACCCTTTGCTAAATAACTTGGGGAACGTCTGCATTAACTGCAGACAGCCTTTCGTCTTCTCCGCGTCCTCCTATGGTGCGTTGGAATATTGCATTTGGTTGTGCTTTTCAAGTAGATAAATTTTAACTGAGCAGAGTAGGTTAGTACTGAATTTCTTCTTTCTGCAATGCTATTTGGACAAACAAATCTTTCCTTTTAATGTTAGATTTGACTAAGTGGCTGCCTCTTGTCCCAGGGATTGGTGGATTTTGCTGCAGCAGCAGTAAAGCATTGCTTTATTATGAGATGCTGAAAGTATAAAGTGTTTCGTTAACACACAGATGCAATCCTTTGAGAAGTTGAAGGGGTTTTGGTTGGTTTTAATTTTATTTTATTTAACTTGCTTCATGAGAACGTGTGGGCAGAACACCACTGTCACAGAAGCCAGAGGGTGTTCACTTAAGGAGGCGTTTTCTGAGCTCTTGCTTGTCAAACACTCCTTGCTTCTCACACCCCTCTAGAGGTACTGCATCTTGTCGAGTTCTATTTGGAAGATGGCATCACGGATGAAGAAGCTGTAGCTCTCATTGATCTTGAAGCTCCAAGATTGAATCAAAGAGAGAATAAGTGGCAAGAGATGATGAGTGACAGTATCCTTTTGATTAAAACTGGATCTGGTCCCTTTCTTACCAAAAAAAGCAACAATCTTGAATTTTTTTTTTTCCCCTTAGGTTTACAATTTTGTCATATGACTGATGTGAGTACAATTGCATTGTGTTTCCTTTTCAAGTTAGTCTAACAAACAAAGTGGGGTTTTAACTAAGCCTGATATTTTCATAAAGGTTTTTCATCAGGAAAATTTGTTTCTAATCATGTAAAATATTTCTTTTTAACAGTAGAATGCCATGCTTTACTTATTCTAACTGCTTTCTGTAAAGACTGGGAGAATCTGAAGTGTGTTATTTGCTTCCCTTAACAGCTTGCTTTAGAGGCTGCCTTCTCTTAGCCGGGGGAACCAGCGGGGACTTTCTTCATAACCGTTCCTGTTGGAATCTGTTTCGCAGTGCTTTGGCATCCAGAGCTCCCAGTTGCTGTCGGGACCATATAATATTAGGTGCAGAGCAATGCACAAGAAAACACAATCTCTGGCTAAAGCTACTCAAACATGTAATTTAAATAGGTTGCTTCATTTGCTTTTTGTCATCTATCGGAAGGGGGCAGGGAGGGAAGGAAAGCAGAGCTGATGTCATACTTGGTTGTGGTCAGTTTTGGCGTTCTGCAGTAGCTGCAATGATGAATTTCCCCAGTCACTGTGAATCACCGCAAGCCCTTCTCTAGTACTTTCTCTAATAATCTGGGCACTGTAGCAGTTTGAGAATACTCCAGAGCAACAAGGATACCAGTCCTGCTGGTACACTTTCAGACTTACTCTGTGAGGACAGCTAATGTTATAGCAAGTCTTTTTCTTCCTTAAGAAATGCATCTAGATGCACAGAGTTTGAGGCTTGATGACAATACAGATATTATTGAAGATGATGATCCCTTTACAGCAAAACTGAGCTTTGAGGTAAGAACCTTACCTGTTGTTTCTTTCTTGCTACCAACAGAAATGAACAGAAAATTTTAACTACAATCCATGCCGCTCTTCGGGTGTGAATGTGTTACGAAGACTATTGCAAGAGAGATGCAAAGCAGGGGACTGGAAGAGGGGGTGGCACTTGAGAGGGAAAAGGATTTACCAGTTAACTCCTCTTAAAAGGCAAACAAAACAAAATCCCAAACCCACAAAACAACAAAGATCTTCCTGGAATTTGGTTTTATCACCATACAATGATACAGTGGGGCTGTCCCCCAAGGTACTTCTGTGTCTAAGCAGTATATCCACAAAACAGTCATTACTGTGAGTTGAGACTGTGGGCATGGGAGTTATTTACAAGGAATTGTGTTAAAATGAATCATGGAAGCTTACTGAAACCAAGTTAGAGATGTGGCTGGATGCTGCTGTCGCTGAAGATGTTGATCAAACTGGTAGCGAGTTTGGTGGGACGAGACTCAGGCCAATTCTATATTAGCTTTTTCTACCGAATTTTGCTTTGCTGCTTACAACATCTCATTAACACGCAAAGGGCTTTGCAGTTGGTAACAGTAATTCTTTCTAAACCTGCTCCCCTGCAGCAAGGAGGCTCAGAATTTGTTCCAGTGATTGTGAATCGTGCTGTTCTCCAGTCAATGAGCCGGAGGGACGTCCTGATTAAACGCTGGCCGAAGCCATTGCGGTGGCAGTACTACCGTTCCCTGCTACCAGATGCCTCCATTACCATGTGTCCGTCATGTTTTCAGGTAGTGTTTACATGGAGAGGTTTAAAAAAAAAAAAAAAAAAAACAAAAAAAAAAAACAAGCAAACCAACCAACCAAAAAGCCCTACTGAGAGCCCTATGGCTGAAACAATTCCAGTAATTGAAACCTCATACTTTAAAACGTATTCGAGAAATTCCTGAATGATGCAGAGACAGAGAAGGCAATGAAAACCAAAATCTGAGCTGTGTGATGCACAGAGGAGCAGCTGCCTCCTGAAAACTTTGAGGGAGCTGAATTTGAGAAGTTGCACTGACAGCAAGTCAGAACCTCTTGAGCAAACCTTGGCTGAACAACAAATGCTGATTTGTATTTATTTCTTTTTGCTCTGTCTCTGACTTTCAGCCTGGTCTAGCAGGGAAGATCAGTCAGTAACTAAGTTAGCTTGTGGTTCAGTCCCTCTCCCTCTCCTTCCCCTCTCAGGAATGGCTTTTTGAAATACTGGAATTCAGTCACGTTTGCTTACACAGAAACTGTCTAATTTTTGCACTTCCTTCTGCAAAAGTAATTAATTGGTTTGTGCCTCTTCAGCAACATTGGCAGTGCTCTGCGAGTGCTTGCTGCCCTGTTCCAAGTTGTAGCGTACTCAGCAATTGGAAGTAAGAGGACCGAGTCTCCAGTGATGGTAGCTTCAGATGTCTGTGCCACAGAGAAGCTGCTGAGCTCAGTTTGCGTTTTCTTTGAGCTAGTCACAGGCTAACTTGTTCCTAAATCTGTTCCTAATTGACAGATGTTTCACACAGAAGACTATGAGCTTCTCGTACTCCAGCATAATTGTTGTCCATTTTGTCGACGGAGAATAGATGAGTCAAACCAATGAAGAAAAAGTGTCTTATACCTCAACTGACAGATGCCCCAATTGGCTTAGCAAAACCCTTCTTAAATGGTTTTCCTAGCAACTTAGTTATCTTGTTCCATTTTGTACATAAGAGTGGAACTGAGTTGACGAAATGTAACTATTTTTTTTAAAATTAAAATGTCTGTTGTTTGTGGATGTCCTCTACATTGCCCAGCCAAGCAGCTGAAGTGCCACAGATTTCTACAGGAATGTTTATAGGGTCAAGTTCAGCCTTGAAGGAATTGTTGTTTTTATTCCTACTTGTGTTAGGACTTGATTTGCTCCTTGATAGGTACCCGTTATTGACAAATCTTCAAATAAACAGGATTATTTTTCACTACTCTTTGTCTTGGAATTTGTGATAATGCTGCTGCTTCTGAGCTTGGTGCTGTTTTTTTTTTTTTTTTTTTTCCTTTCTATTGCATTTAGGCAAGAACAGCATTAGAGTCTACAGCTCTTAAAATGTGATCTTACAAGTTACACTGATCTTGGCATCGAGGGCCATCTCACAGCCACGCTGGGGGAGGGCAGCAGTGGTGAAGCTTTTAATCTGTATAAAATTCACCGTTGTTAGAATGCAAAATGCCAGGTTGTGCATGGCAGCATGCGTTCTGTGCTAACCCAGCTACCCAGATGTAAGACCTCGACTGCCTGCTGCCCCGTAAGTCATCCTGGTAATGGGTGCCTGTTCACTCCTGATAAAGGAAGCGCCCTGCTGGGCTAAACTGAAAGTATTTGCACCCTTACAAATATCTGCCAGGCAGGAATGGCGAAGCGGAGGAGTGCTCCGTCAGCCAGGGGTATCCCACAGCCCCTCCTCTGTACTCAAGACAGGTGTGTTCTTCACTGTCTGCTGAGAAGATCCCGAGTAATGTAACTTGCTGCGGTACTGGGACGCCAGGGTGGTTCCCACGACTCCCGCTGTCCCGTCAGTTCTGGTGGTGTTTGTGATCCCTTGTGGTGGGGGACCGGCCTGAGCTCGCGCAGGCCCCTGGGCTGTTGTGCTGACCAGCGGTGATGCGCTAAAGGAGCGTTTCTGGCAGTGTTTCCCAGCGCTGGTTCAGGCCAGAGCCACGGGCAAACTGTAGAGGTGAGAAGAGATGGACCTGTCGCCTTCTACTCCGGCCTCTTGCTGAGCCTGAGGGGATTTTAAGGATGCAGCTGCTTGACCAAACGCTGTGGGTCAGTCCCAGGCGGCAACTCGGCCCCCACACCACGGTTTACTCGCTTCCCCCGTCTCCCCCAAGGCTGGGGAGAAAATGAGAAGAGCAAAAGCAAAGTAGCTCACAGGTTGAGATAAAGACAGTTTAATAAGTGAAGCAAAGCTGCGTGTGCAAGCGAAGCTATAAGGAATTTATTCACGGCTTCCCCGTGGCAGGCAGGTGTCCAGCCCGCATCCTGGAGAGCGGAACCTCAGTGCGCCTAACGGCTACACCACAAACAACACTCACCTGCCTTCCTCCCTTCCCTGTGCTTTTCCTGCGGAGCACAGCATTGTCTGGTGTCTTCTCGCCCCTCTCTGGCCTGTTGTTGGGGGGGACAGAGCCCGGGGAAAAGGAAACCCGCAGTGCTGTGCAAGCACTGTGCAGCTACAGCTATGACATCGCTGTGCTGCCAGCACTGGTTCAGACACAAATCCAAAGCACGGTGTCCCCCCATCCCCCCCAGACCCAGCACGGGCAGCTGGATCTCCTGAGGACGGCCGCTGAGCAGTTCTCCGACAGCGGAAGATCTGTGTAGGTAACCAGCTGGGCCGGCTTGCAGCTGGGAAGTGATGGGTCTCTTGACTTTAATCCAGTATAAATTGGGCCCGTGTTACCATGAGTTCTATGGTCGTTGTGACATCCCGTCTGTCACAGCCTCCCTTTGTTTTGAGTGGGAAATGATTTTCTACTTTCCTGTCTTCAGCTATTGGCTGAGGTTGTTGGGTGCTGGTAAAGCAGCTACCGTGCAAACAGCACTTTGCACGTGTAACTAGTGATGTCTGTGTGTCTGCTTGAGTTCTGCTTGAAAGTGACACCCCGCAATGGCACCCCGGGGTTTCTGAGTCCCTCGACGGTTCCTGACCAAGTTTGCTTAATTTACCACTTTAAAAACATTCTGTTCTAATTACTGCTCGTCTGCTTTTTGACTCATCTGTCACTGTTTGCAATGAAGACTTTGCTATTGACATGGATAAACAATGCTGTTTGAGATGTGAGCCAGAATGGAATTCCGCTTGTTCTCCCGGAACTGAGCTGGCTTTGCAGAGCTAGTGGGAACGAAAAATTATAAAAATAAATAGATAGAGTTTGCCGTGACACAGAGACAAAATGGATCAAGCAAGGAAGCTTTTTTTTCTCTGTTTCTGAAACAGCTCTGTGAGTACAGTCTAGGTTTGAAAAGCATATTGGGCTTTTCTGGGCAAAAACATACTGAAGGCATCTTGTACGTTGTGAAGATGTTCTAGTTCCAGATTGCTTTGTGCCATTGCAACTCTCGGGTAACCTCATGATAACGACTCCCTGGATGCACAAGAAGTCCCACCACGGCGCTCCTTTCTGGAACTATTGTGAGCGGTTTACCAATTGTTTTCTTTGATTTGCACCGTTCTACCTCATTACTGCTTGCCTGTCCCACTGCTGTGCTCCAGTGGTGACGCACGCCAAGCCCTAAGCTCTGAGCAGCAGCTGCTAACCTCAGCAGTGGCTTATTGCATCAGAGCTTAAGGTGGCATATTTGTGTATTGGGAAGATAAACCTTTAATCCTTCTTGTATGTCCAGGTACACGGATGAACAGCTGCATTTGCAATTAGATAGTGGCACTGCTCTGGCCTTGGCGACACGTGCGAAAAGTTAATTGAGAGGGACTTAGGATGAGCGGAGTGTGTGTGAGGAGGTGGTATTTTCACATTAACATGAAGGAAGACCTTTAGGACTGTCCAGAGTGACCATGGCCTGCCTTTGGCTCCAGCCACCCAGTGATGCCAGCACTTGAGGTCCTTCTGACCTTCCTCACTTAGAGTAAAGGTTTCCCAGCTTGGTCTCTTCTTCAAAGAGAGTACAGAGCATTGTGCTTTCTTCCTTTAAACTTTTTCCATGTGCTAAACTAACTCACAGAGAACACTGGGAAACTAGGCCAGAACTGAAGGAAGTTTATTAAGGCCAAGAGGACGTGAGCTTCTGTCCACCTCGCACCCGTGAGCTCCAGCGGCTCTGGCACATCCTCCTGTGCTGGACGAGGCACTCACAGTTCCCCCCTCCTCTGCCCCGGCCGCGATGGACACTTAGCTCAGCCCCCCGTCTGCGGCCAAAACAGCAAGGGGAGGTGCTTAGGTCCCCTCCAGCCTCTGTCCCCTACCACAGCGCAGAGCAGACAGTCCTGGCTTCGCCTCCGCGGGGGAACCAGCCGGTACCTGCCTGCCTGCTGGAATGTTACTGACTGCTAATGAGAAAGGTGATAAACAGTGGGTGGGAATAAAAACAAACAGAAGAGATGGGAAAATAGCTTTGGAGCTTAAAAGATTAATCATGATGGTGCGAACTGTAAGGAACCACCTTCTCCAGAAAAAGAGGTCCTCTGCGCGTGTCTTCATTGTGCTCGCTCTGCTGTGCATATTGTCCCATTGCCTCTGAAAAATTAAGAAAAGGTAATGTCTAACTCAGTTGCCAGGTGGCACAAAGAACACTTCAAGCACAGTTGAGTGCATTAAGTGGAGAGGCAGAGAGACGCAGAGGACATGGGAGGCTCCAACAACAGCTTCCCCTGTAGAATTTGATGATTCTGCAAGGTTTTGACGAGACCAAAGATGCCTGTCAGCCAGCGTATGAAGTTGAGTGTTGGCTTCAGCTCAGAACCTCCCTTCAGTGCCCTTGTCCAGGAGCCACCTCAGCATCAGTGCAGAATGATACCTGTCCAGGACAGATGGACTAGGTTATTTATTAGGTGTTACCAATGTAATTAGCACAACCCAAACCACATACAAAGCCGGGCACAGAGGAGATGGTTCAACTGGAAACCTGTCAGCAGGGTCAGTGTTCCACTGCGGTGTTCTAACCTCCCCAGCCAAATCCTGCGGCAGAAAATGAGGTGGTTGAGAGCATGTGGAAGAGGGGTCGGTGATGTTCGTGCTGCCTGAGAGCACCCTTCTGCAGCCTCCCCTCGGGAATGGCGGTTGTGGTGGGGATGGCTCTCCAGTGGCGACTACCTGGTGTCACGGACCCACTTTCCCCTTGGAAGGACAGGCCCGGGACACCCCTCTGCCACCGACGGACCACACCACACTGTGCCTGCCCAGCCCAGCAGCCGTCTGCGGCCCCCAAACCCACAGTCGTGGGGTTCTGAACTGCAAACTTCCCTCCTGTTAGTAGGGGACAGAGAGGAGCTTCTGTTCATTGGTGAGCACCGAAAGCTCAGCCTGGGAGCCTTGAGAAAGCACAACCACGGGGAGGATCCCCATGGGCCTTGTCGTTCCCTGGCACCCTCCGCATGGCAACCCAATACTAATGCAGCCCATTCCCGGTACCTCTCTGTGGGGAAACTGAGGCATTTCACCCGGGCAGGGAGCGCACCCTCGAGTGCCCATGGGGGTGGACTGGTGGCCTTGAGGGGGTCAGAGCGAGTGCCTCTCCCTGGACGACGGCAGCGTGAGCTGTGCACGTCCAGCTCTGGATTGTGGGGTGCAATTACTGCCATGGGTGCAGGGCCCACCCCACACTCTTGCTCCTTGGGGAGCGGTGCAGCCATGCTGAGGAGTGAGGCCATGCGAGTGGAGCTGCCATCCGGTTTGGGCCCCCCCAAATGAAAGGTGCGGTGCAGTTACCTCTTTATATATGACCATGAGCCATGGTCTCCAACAATGACAGCGCGGGCCAGAAACAGGTGTCACCTTAATACCTTCCCAGGAAAGCCAATTACCCCGGGATGATTATGATTAATAATTCTCTAAGCCCTAATCGCGCTGACACCAGTGCCTGGAGCTTACCCCAGGGGGCACTTTATAAGGGCCACCCTGCGGAGGTGAGCGTAG